TAGTTAATTAAAAATTTGTCTTTTTTTAAATTAACTAAAATTAATTTTGAAAATAATTTTTCAAATAAAATATATTAATACACATTGTGCAATATTAGAATTAAGTTATATTATAAAAAATTATCTTAAACGAAATGTGCAGAAAAATAGCTTTTATTAAATATAATAACATATTATTTAATCAATAGTTGTAAACACATACAAACTTTAATAATTAGAACATTTTTTTAATTGGATTTATTAGTACATATTATTAGTTATTTTATTAGTTTATTTTTTAGTTAACAAACAGATACTATTAATATTTACGAATTTAAAAATATTATGCATAGGTTTAATAAAAGTACATACATATATATTTATAAATATAATCATAGGTAGCCATTTTAAGTAAAATAATTTAAACTATTTCAAAAGTTTGAAAATAATGTTAAATTTTAAGATCTCTTTTATCATTGAGCTATACTTACTAAGTATTAACAAAGAGAAGTAACAAAATTTTATTTTTCAAGATATAATTAACTGTTATTTAAAATATTTAATTAATGTACTAAAATCAACTTAAAATTATTTTATTAGTTTATTTTTAGTTAATATGCAGATACTATCAATATTTGCGAATTTTTAAAAATCTATGCATATGTTTAATAAAAGTACACACATATATATTTAAACATAGGTTACAATTCTAAGTAAAATAAAGTATATTACTTCAAATGTTTTTTAAAAATGTTAAATTTTAAGATCTTTTTTATAATTGAGTTATACTTACAAGTTTCCTGTATTCAAATATATGTTATAACAGCGGTATCTGTTGATTCAAATTTAACAGAGCAAGCTAAATATCCAAAATGCACTTACTTATTTAGTGCTTTAACTCACATGAAAATAACTCAACTAATGTTAAAAAATACAGATTTAAGTTTGATAATCGCAATAGATAACATAAGTAGATATGTCAAAATTACCATTACACAAATATGTACATTGTACGACAAAGATAAAAAGAATATTGGATCCTTGTGGCTATTAAATCTTTATTTAAGTAGCTTATTTGGACCAAATAATAAACTAGACATAGATACAAAAGATGGCCGGTATAAAACTATTGAAGAAACTCATGATTATGTTCTGAAAATTTTACAACAAGATGCTATCAACTGCGATAGGAATAATGTATTCAATATTCATATATTGGAGTATGAACATCAAAATACAGAATCAATGAGAATTTTAGATGCAAATATGTATAATAATATAAAATATATACAAACATTTATAAAAAACAGAAATAGTCCTAAATTACTGAATTCAGATGATTTACAGAAATTTACTAAAAAGGACATACTTATGACAAGATTATCAAAGCATTTAAGTGGAATAGTTTTTTTCCAATATTTTTACGATGTACAAGTTGATTGGAGTTATAAAATGGCAAGAAATTTTAAGAACATGTTAAAAAAAGCTAATACTCTTCACTGGTCAAGTGGACATTTTAAATCCATTATAGATTATTATGTATTGTTCTTTAACTTCTTTAAGGTTATTATGTTAAGGTTGACTTGGAAACATTTTTTGTACCTTCAATACCAAAACATCAATGTCGTAGAATATTTTGCAAAAGAATGGTTACTAATATTGAATGATTTTTCTCAGCTTACATGTATAGAAAATGATTCTGATATTGTTGAAATTACATCAAGTATCAAAGACTTCATTAGTTATATTCCAAAAAATAAAGACGGCTCTGTAGATGAAGATGAGTTTCCAAATTATAAACAACAGCATTATTCAAAATTAGAATCCGCTTTGAAAATTATTCTGACTAATATTTGTGTTCCTTTGGAATGTTTTGCAATAGAGCCATTATTATTTCTCATAAAAAAATTGTATTGATCCATATATTTTTCAAAAAGTTATAGCATTATAAAGTTAAAAATGTAAAAAAAAAACTCCCAGCACAGTGGGGTGGTGGCACAGTGGTGTCGTGGCAAGTTGGTTAGGCACCTATACGATTGTCTGTTTGCTCCAGCAAGGCCTCAAAATCAACGTAGATGACAAACGGTAACCGTTGCGTTTTTACCCACGCGTCAAATGCGACCTTACTACCCTCTGCCGGCATAACGGGTAAAATTGGTTTATTCTTGCCACATATTAACTTATGTTGCTCCAACGCTTGTTGATCTCGAAGAATATGATTCTTAGCAATAATGTTAAAAATGTAAAAAATAGTATCGAGAATTTTCACACAAAAATAGCATTCGGTTTCCATTTTCGCCGTGAAGACAAGTCCAGAGGTCAAATTTTTTTTTTCAAATTAAAGTACATTACATAAGCTTTAATTTAAGATATATATAAAAGTGTCAGTATTTCCGGAACACTTTCAAAAGTTAAGTTGAAAAAGTTAATTTTTTGTGAAAAAGTTGTCATTTTGTATTCCCCCTGTGGGCTGGTAAAGGGTTAAATTTAATAAAAAATATACTAAATGATAGGTAAAGACATCAATCATCTATAAAAAAAATTATATTGATATGTTCATTTTTAAAAAAATTACGGCAGTTTTTATTAAAAAAAATTGAAAAAATTTCGAAAATTAGCGATTTTTAAATTTGAATTTTTTTGGAGGTTTCCTCCATTTACGGGGAACGAGGGAAATTTTTTCAATTTTTGAGCGTAATGTCTTCAACTAGATACGATTTCTGATCTTTTGACGTATCGTTGAAAGAAATCCGTTCGGTGAGAGCTGAATAAAAGTGGTAACAAACACAAAAAAAAACACAATAAAACCAAAAGCTTCGCATCGAAGCTAAAATAAAGACGGCTCGGTAGATGAATATGAGTTTCCAAATTATAAACAATAATATTATTTAAAATTAGAATCCGATTTGAGCATTATTCTGACTAATATTTGTTTTCCTTTGGAATGTTTTGCAATAAAGCCATTGTTTTTGTTTGGTCTGGAACACCCTGAAGAAGCAAACAAACCAACTCATAATCCTGAAAAACTTGAAACTGTAGAATATTACAGTTTGCTCAATGCAAAAATGTTTCTTAAAAATATTATAGAAAATACTAAAAATATTGATTTTGGTGTGATAAAATCATTTATAATTTACATAGAAAAAATAAGTAAGCATTAGTTTAACAGAAATACATCGAAATTTAAGCACATATTATAATGAATAAAATATATAGTATACATTTTGCATGATTATTATGTATATTTAATGGAAATTGTGAATATTCAAATCAAAAGAAATGCTTCGATGCAAATCTGTAGACAGTGTTTAACTCTAAGAAATTGGTAAATTATACTAAAAACAAAATAAATTCCTACTTATTTTATTATTCCTGATATGTAGTTCTTTGATTTATAAGTATAATATATGAATAAATAATTTTCATAGCAATTAAATATAGTATAAAGTTGATATTTAATAATTTAGTATTGTAATTTTAAAGGAGAAATTATATGGTAGTTGTTATTATTATGGTAAAGGTACATAAAAATTGAAGAGTTTGATAAAATATATCATGATATAAAAAAGGATTTATATCCTGATTACAAGTTTTAACAGTTATGTGTTAATAACTTCAGAAACACTGATCCAAAATTTATCATAGACCAGTAGTTTTCTTAATTATAAATAAGCCTTTAATTCAGTATGTTGTCATTTAAAAAAGTTGTTAACTGATATATAACTTAAAAAGATAATCTATAAAATATTTTGTCATATATACTAATGATATTAGTATGATATTTAAGTTAATTAACAGTTTAATAAAAATTATTTGTATGTATTAATTAACCGTTANAAGTTAATTATCAGTTTAATAAAAATTATTTGTATGTACTAATTAACCGTTGTGAATTAAACTTGCATTATTTAACAAACTTATGATAAATATTTATTTATTAATTTAATAAATTAAATGTAACTTTTGAAATTTTATCTTATGTTAAATGTATAGATAAAATAAATATTAAAGTTCAAAATAATTTTGTATGTAAATGAAAAAAATTATGTAATGACAATTGATCTAGAAATTGTAATTTTTTTTAATTTAATGTTACTTGTAAAAAAATTAAATTATTATCAGAAAAATTATTTGTATGTGAATATATAATAAAACATTGTAAGTTGGGTAATATACTCTTTACCATATATGTACTATAGAAATGTTAAAATATTTTACAAATGTATAGTATAAAATAATAAAACACACAAAACATTTAATGTAGTCTATAAAATATTTATTAATTCATTTACAATTTTATAGGAAAAACATTTGATTTTATTATTTATATTTACAAAACTTATAAACAATTACTTTACATTATACAGTTATCGATTAACCATAAATATAATACTTTAACACGATTATTCGTACAACAATTATGATTGTCTTTATGAAATAAACACGTATCCTTTGATAAATCACAACTATCACGTAAAAGTATATCGATTCTCGGACAATCATAATCTTCCATATTGATTACTGGTTTGTTCGTAAATTTTTCGATAAACTTCTTTTTTTGCAAACCTTTAACGTAGAAATGTANTTTTTGCAAACCTTTAACGTAAAAATGTGTATACCGCTCACTGAGTTCATTCAGAATCGTCTGCAGGTTGTCGTAGTCGACATCACCGTCCGTATGATTTAATTTATGTTTATTACAGCATAGCCACCTATTCACTCTCGACGATTTGNACAGCATAACCACCTATTCACCCTCGACGATTTGGTTGTCATATAGAAATTTATAGGCGGTTTAAATACATAATGATCTAAACGGTCAAACGTGTACGCCGTCAGTTCTTTTACGATCAATTGACATCTGTAGTTTACGATACATTGTAAATCGACTACTAGTGACCCGTCCATTTTTTATGACTGTTAAAACTATACTAAATCTTTTTTGTGTATCCAACTGCTTTTTTTTAAACCATTCCATTTAACCAAATAGTTATCATTTTTACGACGTAAAATTTTTTCTATCAGAAACGTATTTGGAAAATTTGTTTTTTCAACTCCTCCCGGTAGAACGTTCCGTTAATTTGCGTACCGTCTTTATCTTTCAGCACATATACAACGGGTNCTTCATCTTTCAGCACATATACAACGGGCACTGTTTGTTTTATTTTATCTATGAAAAATATTTCATTAGACCAATTCTGTGTATATCCTTTGACGAAAGCGGCTTTATTTTTACTTATACGTACTGCGTCAACAATATTTAATATTTTTCGTGTAATGTTAGAATAATTCGGTAAACGATAAAATCGTACGCTATCGGGTTGTTTGGATGCTTGCGCTGGTCTTTGACGAATTGCCGAATGAATAGCATTGTTATAATCATTTGTTATTTTTTGTAATATACTCAACCATTGATAAGATCTCGAAGCTGTAAATTTTTTCCACATGCGTTCTTTAAGCGTACGGTTAAAACGTTCGATTACGAATGCCTTCACTGCAGAATATCTGTCGTTAAATACAGTAGACGNCTGTCTGTCGTTAAATACAATGGACATCTATTACAATTACTTATTATTGATTTAAACGCTGCTGTTACTGCTCTACCAGTTTTACTTTTTAATGGTACACACCATGCGTATTTTGTATACACGTCTATTACAGTGAGAATAAAAGTATAGTTTTTATTCTTGCTAGAATACTTTTTCATATCGACGAGATCCGCTTGCCACGTGTTGTCTTTGGTATAAGGTGTCACGATGCGTCTGGGAAATTTCTTTTTAGCTTGCTCATGTAACTCCTCTGCTATTTGGTCACCAACGGTTTTCATTCTATCACTCTGTTTTCTCTAAGTTCTTCTTCCAGGGATATTATTTCGTTATACACACCCGTATACCTGCACGCTTTGACGCGTGTAGAATAGATAGTCGCTGCACTAATTCGTTTATATCGTCCCAGTATATGTATTCTTTTTGTTTATTTGTTACAGATAAAAACGGTAGTCCGCCACCAAACTTTTCATTTTCGCTTGGTTGCCGTCCGTTAAATAACTGTTTTATTATGTTTTTATATTTATATCCTTGATTCGTTTTCAATTTTCCGTTAATGTTTCTGTGTACTCTAGTGTGTATGAGACACATTCCTCAGCATCATTCGATGTACGATTTTTAAATAAGTTTTTTGTTTGTTGTGCAATTTCTTCCAGAGGTTCAATGATAGCTTTCGCATGTTCGCGTATAAACTCTCTAGTTTGGTCCACACCACATTTAAGTTCCAGTAATTTTTTTCTAATACTTTTTTTAGCTTTTATAATACTTGATGTTATATTCTCCTCCGACTCCGACATTTTGTATTAATAACCAAGTGTCTAAAAATCAGCTCTTTTTATATAAATATCAAAACCTTTGCGATACCTCCCCTCGTTTAAAGGAAAATCTTTCGCTATCAACAAAAATTCAAATCTTCCAGAGTTCCAGCATTTAGCACACATTTCTTTAAATTCTATAAAACTCATATCTGACGAACAATGATCATCGTATATGTGTTTTAAATTAGTTTCGTCTTGTTTGTATAAAATAATCATATTCGTATTGTCTCTGATGAGTTGTTTTGGGATACGAGAATACGTCTGCGATAAATAAAATATATCGATACCGTTGTGTCGACCTCTACAAAAATATGATTCTATGTTTTTTTGTTTTTCACATACGACATCGTCAAATATAAATATAGAATTAAAAGTTGCTGTTTCCGGTGGTATTACTTGATCGTTATCAGTGTAAACGCTTATATATACCCNGGTGTAAACGTTTATATATACCCCTTCTACGTCATTGATAATATTCTCTAAAATTTTATACTTGCGTTGATCCGGAGTTTTTGTATAGAGGTATATGTTTTCAAATTTTAAGCCGTTTTCTTCCGTCTGTAAATTAAACATTACGTTTGTTTTACCACAATTGGATGGTCCGCAAATTATACAACGTATATTATCGGGTAGCAAGGGTCCGTGTTTCATTCGTTTCGATTCAGATTTATTCAAATCGATGTTGGAAACAGGTAACTTACACGTTTGTACTTCGAAAAACATCACGTATAAAAGATTGATACAAAACATCCACTGTTTTAAACGATGATTCGACATCGACGATCAAACAATAATAAACGCGGTTACGGTTTAGTTAATTCTCTTATAAATAATCTCCCTGTAGAAGTTCATTGGCCAACGTATCAATACCTAGGACCCGGTACGCGATTGGAAAAACGATTGGCTCGTGGCGATTCCGGAAAAAATCCGTTGGATTCAGTAGCTCGTGATCACGATATAGCATACAGCAAATATAAGGATATTAAAAATCGACATAAAGCCGATTACATTTTACAAAACCGAGCTTGGGAACGTGTTAAGGCAAAAGACAGTACGTTCGGAGAAAAAGTAGCGGCATACGCAACTACCAATATAATGAAAGCGAAACGTAAACTCGGAATGGGAATAAATTTCAACTCGATTGTCAGTTCGAGTCGAAAAGCGATGCGTAAAATGAAGGGTAAAAGTGCAAAGAAAGCGAGTATCACTGCACTCGCAGCGGCNAAGAAAGCGAGTATCATTGCACTTGCAGCGGCAAAAAAAACATTCAAAGACTCGGCTCGAAAACCTACTACTCCTCGCACTATAAAAATACCAAAATTTGGTGGAGCGTTACCCTTGATTCCTATTTTCGCTGGTCTTTCTGCTCTCGGATCGTTAGCCGGTGGTGCTGCAAATATAATCAAAGCGGTGAATGATGTAAGAAAAAATAAAAATGTAAAAAGCTCAGTTAAAATCGGTGGGGGTATGCTTTCAAAAAGAGAATCAGCTTTATATTTGAAACCATTTCAAAAAAACTAACTCATATGCTACCCAGTGATCATCCACTAAACAGCGATGATATTATAAAATATGCGAGATTATTCAAACTGTTTCATTTTCATAATGTCTTTTTACGAGATAACTTACCTAAAACACCAAGAAAGATTGAATGTGCTGTAGTAAATTTGGATGATGATACGGGTAAAGGCACGCACTGGGTAGCATATTATAAAAAAAATAAAACTGTATTTTATTTTGATTCGTTTGGTAATTTACCACCGCCTTTAGAATTACGCAACTATTTAAAAGATTGTCGTATAAAATTTAATTACACTCGTCTACAAGAGTTCGATACGTTTGTGTGTGGACAATTGTGTTTGAAATTTTTACTGGAACAATGCAACGATCGTTAACGTTATCTTTTCAAGATAACCAGTCTAGAATGATCAGCACTTTTTTTCCACCCATTGAACTAGATGGAACTGCAGAATTAGCACTTTTGAGTTTACAAGCATGCAACTCTAAACCAAACGTTAGTGAAAAAAATAATTATTTTCGTGTTTTAACCGATGCAGACAATCTCGGGAATTCAATGACCATTAATGGATCGTTTATTGATTTATCAATACCGATAGGATCTTATGAACTAGATGATATAGGTAAATATCTCTCGGACGAATTGAAAAAACATAATATTATTTTCAAGTTAAAATCCAATGTGAATACATTGAAATCGGAAATGTTTTGCGATAAAACAATAGATTTCACAGCAAATAATAGCATAGGAGAGTTATTGGGATTCAATAAACGAATGTTTGAAGGTGGTATAGTGCACGAGTCGGATCAAATGGCTAACATTAACCCGTTATCATGTATAAGAATAGAGTGTGATATTGTACATGGCGCATTTGTGAACGGACGCGAGACGTGTTCGTTTCACGAGTTTTATCCTTTGGTGTCTCCTGGCTATAAAATTGTAGAATCACCTAATAATCTAATATATTATCCCGTATTGACTAATCAAATAGATAACGTAAAAATTGAAATTAAAGATCAGAACGGTGAACTTGTCGATTTCAGAGGTGAAAGTGTAACAGTTCGTGTTCATATACGTTATGGGAATACAATATAACGTTAAAAGAAAACGTTTTCTCGACATTGACAACAGTTATGTTTCAAAACTTCCAGGGTTAACAAGAGAAAGCTTGAATACTCTCTTGAACCTTGGTTACACGCTCGCAAAACATTATGGAAGACATTCTGAACATACACGAAAAGCCGTACTTCGAATAAATTATAACAAAATTTGAGTATCATTCGTATCAACCATTTTCTAGTAATGCGCTGTCGAATAACGATGAAATACGGATTGCGATACAACATCAAGATTTGTATACTCTTCCCAGTGAATCGCTGCTATACATCGAAGGCGAAATAGAGAAAAGTATGGAAATAGGTGAGAGTGTGTCATTTGTAAAATTAATTAACAACGGTATTATGTTTCTGTTTGATGAAATTCGTTACGAATTAAACTCGGTTGAACTTGATAAAGTAAGAAACCCTGGTATAACAACATGTATGAAAGGTTATGCCTCTTTTCAAACGGCAAACCTTTACCGATATCAAAACGCTGGATGGAATGAAAGTGGTGACAGTAAGTCGAAATTTGAAGTTTGTATACCTCTCAAATTAATCATTGGGTTTGCGGAAGATCATCGTAAAATTATAATCAATTCTCGACAAGAACTTATATTGCATAGATCCAGCGTGGATATTAACGCATTAAAATGTGAGCGAGTGAATGGTAAAATAAAAATCGCAAAAGTATTGTGGAGAATGCCACACATAAACGTAGAAGATAGTGTTAGATTGAAACTTTTGAAGACGTTAGATTCTCGTAAACCACTTTACATCGCTTTTAGAAGTTGGGAGTTATTTGAATATCCATTTTTACCATTCGTGGGCCANTGAATATCCATTTTTACCACAAACAACAAAACATTCGTGGGCCGTAAAGACATCTACACATACTGAAAAACCTAGATATGTGATTATAGCGTTTCAAACTAAACGTAAAAACAATATATCTGCAGATATGAGCCGATTCGACCACTGTTCTCTATCATCACTCAAAGTTTTTTTAAATTCAGAATCTTATTCATATGACAGTTTAAATATTGATTTTGATAATGATAAATATTCAGCGTTATATCAAATGTGTTCAACATTTCAAGATAGCTTCTATAATATTGAAAATGGTGATCCTATTTTAACTAAAGTAGAATTCAAAGATACCGCTCTTTTGGTTGTCATTGATTGCTCGAAACAGAATGAAAAAATTAAAAGTGCTCCTGTAGACGTTCGAATTCAATTCGAAACCAAGATTCCTATACCAAACCATACGTCAGCATATTGTTTTATATTACATGATACAATTTTCGAGTACAACGCAATGACTAGTGAAGTACACAAGGTAGTTTAATCTATGTTATTTCAAATCAACGCATTTACAATGGTAATTGTTATATTATAATTTGTGAATATTTACAATTGTAATCATTATTTTATTTTTAAATTTTTTAAATAAATAATTATCATTGTAAACAATTTTTTTTAATTTTGTTTTTCAANTTTTTAAATAAATAATTATCATTGTAAACAATTTTTTTTATTTTTGTTTTTCAATTTTTTTTCATACTCTTCCATCGCCTTGAGAGTTATTAAATCTACTTCTAATGCTCTTTTTTCATCGTAAAAATCATTGTTCCAACACGCAACGTTTCCTAAATTTATAATTATTATAATTACAAACATTATTTATTATTATTATTGTTATTATATTTTTTTAAATATATCTTTTTTACAATGCTCAAATGATTTTTACTTACGTTTTATTTCTTCGTTATCATCATCATCATCATCATCATCATCATCTATAGATTTTACAATATGATCCAATGTGTCTTGAGCAATTAACTCCATCAGACTATCTTCCATGTTTAAATTTTCTGACGGTTGTGAATCTAAGTGAGAATTCACCAAAGAATTTACATTATCCTCCCATGTTGCTTGAGTAATTAACTCCATCAAATTCTCCTCCATACATGAATTTTTCCACGGATGTAAGCCAGAGAGTATATAATTATTCTCCATCGATTCAACAATCGATTATGGAATATTTATCGGATGATTCTATTTCGACTTGAACGGGATAATCTTCCATGAACCAAACATCAGGGAATAATTCTTCAGTCTATTAAAAATATATTAATTCTATTATATTTATATAAATAGAAATATTTTAAGTTTTTACCAAATTTTGTGAGAATTCTTCAATATTTATACTGCTTAAATTATTAAAACATTTTTCTTCGATACCCGACAGTGAATCGGTTTTCTTGTTTAATATTTTTTGAACCTGTGTTGACATGATGTGGGTTTCAATTCCAAATAATGACTAACACCCTACAGTCTCTTTACACTCACAGTAAAATTCAAAGTGATGATTTAGCTTTTCTTATGATACTGTGATTGGTTTAAATTTGTTGACGTTTAAAAGAAAAAAACATCTAGAGAGAATTCCATGAAGTCTAACAGATATTTTTGAATTTTTATTACGTTTCGTTTTTTCCCCAATTTATTTAATACTTGGGTGCATGTACAGTTCCATCCACCTCAATAACAACAACCATAATTTTAGCAACTTATGTTTTATATGTAGTATTTAACCCATGAGAGTACAACATTTTTAACATGATTATTATAAGTTTTTAAATAATAATCAAACAGCGATTAGACGTGCAAATATTTATTTTTTTCAATTAAAAATGAGTTATAATACGTTATATTATTCATCTTTTTACAATAATTTTAGTAATATTGTCGTTTTCTATTATTAAACAGTTGATTCGAAAAACCCGTTACAACTTTGAATATCATCAACATCATCGTAAATATTCTCGAAGTGATTTTCCAAAAGATCTGGTTCGTTATCGTTGTTTCTAAAAATTTTTAATTTAATTTAGTTTTATACAATAAACAAACCAAGTAAAGTATTTACCTAATATTTTCATTTGTCATTTGCATAATATCCTGATTGGTTTGATGTTTGAAATCCACTATGAATTGTTCCCAAATACGTTTAATAATACATTTATAATCGAAAGTAACGATTTCTTTGTACAATGCGGTCGATGTTTTTGACATAACTGATATATCCGTATTTTTGACGATCGAGTACATTAAATTTTCGGGTAATAGTAAAAACTTGTTTATTACTAAATCCTTTATTTTTTCAGAAACTTCTTTACTCTGCATACACAATAATTTACAAGTTTCCAATTTCTCTTTTGCTACCTCCAGAAGACATGATTTCATTTCTTTCAGAACAATTAGATTTTCTTCCGTCAATGATACACGTCCCATTTTATGTTCTTCAATACCTTTACCCAAAATCGACAGATAATTTTTCGAGAAACATTTAGATTTTACAATGTTGAAATTTGTGTTTAGATAAATTTTTGATTTACATGAATCATCCATGAACGATATCATTTCATCGATTAAATGTAAAAAACCAGTAAACTTTAAGATGTCCATCCATAAATACATAGTCTGTGTTATTATTATTACCACTGGTGAGTAACGATCGTTAATCCATGTGCAACCGATGTGTATGAATTTTCTATCTATAAAACTCAAATTGAATACAGATGTTCCCAGCATAACAAAATCGGGTTGAGATGGATACCGTGTGGATAATTTCACATTTTTTACACCTGCACTTATATCATACTTCACTAATCCCACACGATTAAGACATACGACAACATAATAGGAGTTTTCTTACGTTCGACCTCGATTTATAGATATTTCTGAAGAGGGCGGGGAGGGATTTGAAATACGGTTCGTTATTTATTCAAAGAAACAGAAATAAAAAATCTAATTTGGTGGCAGAAGGGTGGAGGGTAATTTTATCTTTGCAAGTATACGGAGGGAGGCGGTAAAATATTATATCAAGTATAAAATGAGGCGCTAAAATACGTTTTATCAAATAGCTTCATTGATAAGCATTACATACACTCTCCTCTAACTATAATGTGATAAGAGGTAAATGAGGCGCCAACGAGAGGCGCTAAAATGAGTATATGGGGAGAGGCGGCTCCATATACACACATCAATAAGTGTAAAAAGTAGTTTTGAGTGTTTACAAAAAAAAGTAGTATACAAATATTTTTTACAAAATCAAATTAGATCCATTATATAATTTTTAAATCTTGGAATTTACTATGCGTGTTCAGAGTAACTTAATAGCATTTATAAATTTATATAATTCTTAGTCCAAATTAAGATAAATAACTGAAATAGAAACATTGAAAAAAATGTTCGAACTTTAATAGCATTTAAGCATTACAAAACGGTATTAAGAATAGATAAAAGTCAAAAAAATATATTTAAAATTTTTATTGACTCATACTCATTTTTTGACAATATTATTATTGTCAAAAAATGATTTTGCAATATTCTCATTTGTATTCGTACAATCAATATATTTTCCATAAATAAAATATATATTAATGATAATAGTAAAAGAAATAAATATTTCTAAAATACGTGTAGTACTTACTATAGGTTATTAATACCTATTGTATAATAATCTGGTATTATCAAAATACTAAATGGGTAATTATTTTTGTTTTAATTATAAAAATAGATATTTATTAACCATTTATTATAATATGAATTCTAAATTACATTTATTTACAATTTTAATTCAGTAAAATATTACATTAAAAAATCTTAAAACTATATTTACAACTATATATACAACACTTATATTTACAAAAAACCTTATCATAAAATTCAATTACACGATTTAGCATACAATATATTTTACATTTGTCAATATGGATATTTAAAGAATTTTACAATCTTATTACTATTATAAAAAATAATGTTGATCAAATTTCTTCCGGTGGAATGGCATAATGACCGTAAGCCAGCGTGTCAACTCTGTTGTCGAGCTTGTAGCGCTTATCGTCGAAACGGTTAAGCGCCAACTTGGTTGTACGTAAAGTGCGTACCTCGTGCTCGAAAGAACGAATTGACACGTTCTGTCGGTACGGAGTGTACGGTAGTGATAATGTCGGTGGAATCTCACCATCACGTACGGTTCCGATGACTACACGGGCATTCTCACCGGCCAACTCTCGTTTCGACGCATCGTCGCCATCGTTATCGTTTTCAAACAAACATCGTTTGTAATCGTCCAAAGACAGATGGTTGCGGATGACGTGTCCGCGGATCCCCTTAGACTTGATGAGTTCGCTGCCTTCCATGTCAAATGCATAGCACTTTGAACGAAGTGCAGCGATCTCAAAGAGGGTGAGGCCGCCGGTCTCGTCTGAAAACAGACCAGGCGTCTTCTTCCTCGAGGTCGAGTAGCAAGGGTGATCCTTGGGCAGGCTAGATGCGTCCACGTACACCAGTAAATCGGGGCTGTCGGCTAAATCCTGGTAGAAGTCGCTGACTCTGAGCAGGTATATGAAGGAGTCTGAGAAAAATTAAAAATATATAAATATTGTAAAAATATTTCTACTGTACGATTGTACTCACCAGTATCCATGTAAACCAATTCGATTGCACTGCCATAATGTGGTTTCAATACGTCGTAGAAGTACTTGTACATTAGCGTCTTGCTAATGTCAAGCACTGCTAAACCGACGTATATTGGTTTGATAAACTTGACAATCATTGTGTCCATTATGACGGCGCACAAGCTTTCGCCGTATTTGATACAGTCGTTGAAGGTTTACGAGCTTGTTTAGACGTTCGGGATTGGAGATTAGCTCAATACAAATGCGTTTCCGCATGTTCTCCATGGTTTTTCCTATAAAATGTAAATATTTATCGAATAACCCACAACTGCTTTAGCATTGAGCGTGCACTTACCAAAGACGGCATTATTTATTAATTTGAAAAACGCTATTTCAAAAGCATTTGCCGCCTGTTTCCGCATTTCAGTGTTCAACTCAATGTATGGTTTCAACAAAGTGCTTTGTTGAAACTCTAAAACGCGGTGCACCTGTGTGACAAGCATATTAATATCATAGCTAATAGCTCTAGGTACGATGTATATACTTTATCGACTTGCAGTCCGTGTGCAATCGCCTGTTTTAAGTTGACATAGTGTACGACGTACCGTTGTTTGGGTTTCAAAGTGGCCATGAGTTTGGTCTCTTTGGAACCAGGCGGTACATCGTTGCCAGGCAAGAACGGGAAGTCATTGTGCTCGTCATGCAACTCTTCTGGATACGATACATCTACTTCATATATACGCCCCATATTACCAGTGTTCGAAAGCAATTGAAGGTCGGTAAGAGGATTTGCTCCTTCATACCACCGGAAGCCTCCGTACGGCATGGGCTGACTCATAGCCCAACCGTAAAGGTTATTGCCTATATACATTAAATGTTTTTAATCCACTAAATTATTGTACTTTTATATAATACTTACAATCTTGATACACTCGCCAGGTGTCTTTGAATTGTTGGCCTTGGCATAGTGCTTGACGGCCTGCACCAGCCCACCACGAATGCCCTGTTCCACCATCAGTAGCATGTCGTAGTCGTTCAAGAGCTTCAGCTTCACCCTGGTGTACTTCAACATGCAATCGAAGCTAAAACCCGGTGCGGTATAATAGTGCGCCGGGTCCAAATTGTATGTTGTAATACAGATGTCGTGAAAGTTCTCAAACACGTCAGCCAACAACAGCACGTCAATCTTTAGGTATAGGTCGCTGTACTCACCGAGAGTTGAGCAACCGAAACGATTCCACACCTCTGTGGCGTGTCTATAGTCGTCGTCATCGATATTCGACTCATTCAACTGACTATAGAAAGCGTCGCGGGGTGGTAGTACCGTTTCGTCCCATTTATCCCAACTATCAGTGTACTCGTTGGGTTTGGTTTAGGTGCGAAAGGGTATACGCCAGCAAGGCCTCAAAATCAGCGTAAATGACAAACGGTAGCCGTTGAGTCTTTAACAACGCGTAAAAAGCGACCTTATTATCCTCTGCCGGCATAACGGGTAAAATTGGTTTATTCTTGCTGCATATTAACTTGTGTTGCTCCAACGCTTGTTGACCTCGAAGAATATGTTTTTTAGACATATCATTGAAGCTGGTGAAGCAACGTTTGCAAGTGTATATGCGGCATTTGTGTTACATTACGAGTATCATTACGCGTACATTACATCTGTATACAGATACAATGTATACCAATGTATGGTGGGTGGGTGAAGCGGGGGGACCATAATCCCCATTTTCACCCTACTAAATTACTGTGTTAAAATCACCTTAAAGTTACTTTATTGGTTTATTTTTAGTTATATAAACAGTACAACAAGAGAGATACTATCAATATTTGCGAATTTTAAAAATTTATACACATGTTTTATAAAAGTATATATATATATTATAAGTAAAAAAACCATTTTAAGTAAAATAACGTAAACTATTTCAAAAGTTTGAAAAAAATGTTAAATTTTAAGATCTCGTTTATCATTGAGTTATACTTAATTTTCTGTATTCTAATATATGTTAAGACAGACGATTCAGTTCATTCAAGTTCAACTGAGGGGACTAAATATCTAAAATGCTCTTACTTATTTAGTGCTTTAACTCACATGAAAATAACTCAACTAATGTTAAAAAATACAGATTTAAATTTGATAATCGCAATAGTCAACGTAAAAAGATATGCCGAAATTGTCAATAAACAAATAAGTACATTATATGAAAAAAATAAAATGAATATTGGATCCTTGTGGCTATTAAATCTTTATTTAAATAGCGTATTTGGACCAAATAATAAACAAGACATAGATAGAGAAGATAGCCGGTATAAAACTATTGAAGACACTCATGATTATGTTCTGCAAATTTTACAACAAGAAGCCAACAAATGTGATACGAATAATGTATTCAATATTGATATATTGGAGTTTGAACATCAAAATACAGAATCAATGAGAACTTTAGATTCAAATATGTATAATAATATAGAACTTATATTAACATTCATAAAAAATATAAATAATCCTAAATTACTGAATTTAGATAATATACAAAAATTTACTAAAAAAAGCATACTTATCAAAAAATTAGTAAAGCATATAAATAGCATACATCTTTTCCAAACAAATTTTTTTGTACAAGTTAATTGGAGTAATTATATGTGGAAAATCATTTTGGGTATGTACAAAAGAGCTAGTTTACTTAACTGGTCAGGTGGGAATTTTAAATCCATTATAGATTATTATGTAGTGTTCTTTAACTTCTTCAAGGTTATTATGTTAAGATTGACTTGGAAACATTTTGTATACCTTCAACACCAAAACATCAATGTCGTAGAATATC